TTTAAGAAACAGTTTATTTTAACGTGTTAGCTCACAAAGTAAATATAAGGATTTTAATTTTTGGATGGATACAGTTCAAATTGAATGTCATTTTTTTGGACTTATTTTGGAGTGTTTTTGGGTAGGAATCATTTGTATCTTATTGTTATATTTGTTGTTTGTATTACAAAATATCTGGGTGCTATTTATCTTTGTCTTTTATTTTTTTTAGAGACAGGGTCTTGCTGTGTTGCCCAAGCTTGTCTTGAACTCCTGGCCTCAAGCGATCCTTTTTTCTTAGCATGCCAAAGCACTGGAATTACAGGCGTGAGCCACCACGCCCGGCCCTGTCTTTGGTTTACAATGTATTTTAGGTCCAGGCGCAGTGGCTCAAGCCTATAATTCCAGCATTTTGGGAGACTGAGGTGGGAAGATTGCCTGAGCCAATGGGTTCCAGACCAGCCTGGGCAACTTGGTGAGACTTTGTCTCTATAATAGATCAAAAAATAAGCTGGGCTTGGCAGTGCACGCCTGTAGTTCCGGCTACTTGGAAGGCAGAGGCGGAATTCCTGAGCCCAGCAGGTTGAGGCTGTGGTGGCCGGGAGCGTGCCACTGCACTCCAGCCTGGGTAACAGAATGAGACTGACTCAAAAACAAAAAACAAAACAAAATGTATTTCAGGCATTTGTGTTTTCTTTTCCAAGTAATTAAGGAAGTTCTAATTTCTTATTCATTCAACAAATGAATTTGAGTGATTTTTGTGACTTGAATAGTTCTAGGTGCTGGTGATAAAGCAACAACAACAAAATATCTTGACTTACGTTTGCTTTCTAGTAGTGTGAGACAAAAGATGAGCAAATAAACCAATATTATATCAGGTGATGATAAGTGTCATGGGAAAAATGATGTCACTTTGAGGGTGTCTCCATACTGTTCAGAAGATTAAGCCTCAAAAATACTGAGGTTGTAGATAGAAGAAACCTGGGCCAGATGTATAGTGAACTTTTTAATTTCTTTTTTGAGTCGAGATCTCACTTTGTCCCAGGCTAGAGTGCAGTGGCACAATCACAGCTATTGCAGTCTTGACTTGCTGGGCACAGGTGATCCACCTCAGCCTTTCAAGTTGTTAGAACCACAGGTGCGTACCACCATGGCAGGCTAATTTTTCTGATTTAATGTAGAGTCGGGGTCTGGCTGTGTTGCCCAGGCGGGTCTTGAGCCCTTGGGCTCAGGCAGTCCTCTCGCCTCTGCCTCCCGAGTGCTAGGATTATAGGCGTGAGCCACTGCTCCTGGCCTGTAGTGGACTTTCTGATTGTTGATTATTGACTCACATGTAATATGAATGGATTCCCCTATTGTCTACTGCCTTTCATAGCACTGCCAGTTTCAAAGTTGTGCTACTCATAGTGTAATTCCATTTATTGTTGCATAAAATAATCCCTCTGTAGTGCTTTACAGTTAAGAAAAATTTCACATTTCTTTTTTTTTTTTGAGTTAGAGTTTCACTCTGTCGCCCAGACTAGAGTGGCTGCTCATGGCCACCGCAGCCTCCACCCACTGGGCTCTGGTGATCCTTCCACCTCAGCCTTCTGAGTAGCCGGAATTACAGGCGCGTGCTACCATGCCTGGCTGATTTTTGATTTATTGTAGAGATGAGGTCTCGCTGCCCAGGTGGGTCTCGAACTCGCGGGCTCAGGCAATCTACTCACTTCAGCCTCCTAAAGGCGCGGGATTACAGGCTGAGCCACCGAGCCTGGCTATATTTCATTTTTTAAAGTGGTTGTAGCATAATAGTTAGGGTTGAATCATATGAAGCTACTGATGTTTGTTTGACTGTTTTTGACCTAGAAGAAACAATTTCATATTGTTCAGCCTGTGCTGTGCTATACCAACTTTGAAAAATAAAATGTGAAAATGTCGTAACTGTAGAGCGCAATACACAGTGCCAATATTTAAATTGTTTTTGCCACTTTCTATTTTCCATAGAACAATTACTTAACCTCATTGTATCTCATTTTATCACACAGTCTGCCTTGCATATCCTTGTTTTTTTTTCTTGTTAGTTTGGAAGTGATACACTTTTACTTTTAGTGGTACCCCTAGAAATAATAACATACATTCCTCACTTGTCAAAGTTGCAGATTCAACCAACTGGATTGAAAATGCTCGAGAAAAACATAATAATAATACAAACAATAAACCAATACATTATAGCAAGTAGCTATGTAGCATTTATACTGCATTAGGTATTGTAAGTAATCTAGAGGTGCTTTAAAGTATATAGGAGGGGCTGGTCACAGTGGCTCATGTCTGTAATCCCAGCGCTTTGAGAGGCGGAGGTGAGAGGATTGCCTGAGTCCAGGGGTTTGAGACTTGCCTGGGTGACTTGGCGAGACCTCGTCTCTACAATAAATAAAAAAATAGCCAGGCATGGTGGCAGGCACCTGTAGTTTCAGCTATGTGGAAGACTGAGGTGGAAGAATCCCCTGAGCTCAGCAGGTCGAGGCTGTGGTGGCTGTGAGTGTGCTACTGCACTCCAGCCTGGGTAACAGAGTGAGACTCCAACTCAAAAATAAATAAATAAAACTTGCCCATGGCAGGTTTTTCTGCCATGAATCTTCCTTTTTCCTTCTTCCCTTTTCCTTGCTAATAAACTTTGCTGTAAAACTTAAAAAATAAATAAATAAGCGAACAGATACATAAAGTATATAGGAGGATGTGCTTCAGCATATGCAAATACGCCATTTTATATGAAGGACTTGAGCATCCTTGGATTTTCATTATCCGAGGTCCTGGAACCAATCCCCCACTGAGCCCAGGGATGACTGTGTCAGTCAGGATGATAATCTTGCCTCAGTTGCAGGGAGTATGTGAGATTATGTAGTAAACGTGCATAGAAGGGAATCTAGCACATGGTAAGAGCTTGTTAAATGTCAACTATGACTCCACTTCCTACCCTAGGAGGCTGCCATTGCTGTTCTCAGTTTTGCAGATGGGGAAGCAGAAGCTCAAAGAGGTTGTATGAGTTTTCCCAAGCTGGCACCCCAAGCTGTGTTCTTGCCCCTCAGTTTCACAATGGATCCAAGGGGCGAGTGCAGGAAGAACCCAAGGAGTGTGTGTCAGGTGACACGCAGCTTGCTGTAGCACAGCTGACGCCTCATTGCTGGTATGGTCCACAGACCTCGTACTGGCTCACGCATGAGGAACAGCACGTGACTCATTTAACTCTCAGGAGTGCCTGTCTGTAAACGTGCGCAGTTTGTGGGAAATACGGTAGATGCTGGGGCTTGTGATTATTTGCTGTTGACTCTTCAGCATATACTTGGCTTCCAGTATTTGACCTGGCCCCATTTCGCATGTTGGTTTTTGTTTCCTCATTCCTAAATTTATATAAATCATTTGTACAGACTTTTTATACCTTTTAAAATTCAATTTTAAAATAAGTTTTTTATTTTGAGTTGGAGTCTCACTGTCTCCCAGACTGGAGTGCAGTGGCTGCTCCCGGCCACCGCAGCCTCAAGCCGCTGGGCTCTGGCAATCTTTCCGCCTCAGCCTTCCAAGTAGCTGGAACTACAGGCGCGGGCTACCACACCCGGCTAATTTTTGATTTATTGTAGAGATGAGGTCTCGCCAAGTTGCCCAGGCGGGTCTCAAACCCACGGGCTCAGGCAGTCCACTCACCTCAGCCTCCCAAGGTGAGGGATTATAGGCTGAGCCACCGAGGCTGGCTTAAAATAAGTTTTATAAACTGGCTTAATGAGTACATATATAACAATTGCCTAATTCTCCATTTCCTTCAAAAGGCAGCCCTTTGTCCCCCTACCTCTTCTTTTTAAAAGTTATTTTCTTCCCTTTTCAGCTTCTAAAAGTGAGGATGGGTGATAGGATGAACCGTTAAGTACAGGTGAAGAGTGTGAAGTCGGTCAATGCTGGGTCTCACGGAGACAGGAGCTTCTAGAGACCATGGTGGATGGCGCTGGTGCTGTGACTGAGAATCCCACGTTAGGCTCCTTGGTGTGTGGGATGCAGGTCACCAAGTGGCTGCTGTGTGTCCGCTAAGGCAGTGATGGCGGGTTGCAGGTGCACAGAGCAAGAGGTGTGTTAGAGGGACCAGGATAGGGGACTGCGGGGGCAGTTTGAGAAATCAGTTTTATAATGCAGATTCACAGACCCCGCTAAAGCCTAGGTTTTGTCTTGAAGGTGCATACATGATGGAAGGGGTAGCCGTTAAGGAGCCCAGCAGACAATGCGGACAGACTGTTCTCCAGCGCAAAGGGTGGGTCTTTAATGGAACAGAGGGACACTTGATTGGAAAGCCAGAGATGTGTGTGTGAGTTTTGGTTTTGACACCAATTAGAGATGTGACTTGGGGGTGACTCACTAGCTCCGGGTCTCAATCTGTAAAATGAGAAAATCATACTAGACAAGTCTCCACAGTCTTAGGCATTTTAGATTTGCCTCTGGTTAAAGGACTGCTTTGTGGGCAGTTGGATCTGACCAGTTATCAGGGTGAGTTCCAGAGTTTGGGAGGCCAGAGGGAACAGTGCCAGAGTTCCAGTCCCCCTTTGTCGGGTTACTGCAGTATATCCTAGCATAGCACATGGCCACGGGGAACTTAGAAGAGTCACTGCGAATCTCTTGCCTTGTCCCTATCCTTGCCAGCCCTAGCCCTCCTGTCCACAGACAACCTTTAAAAACCACCTCACTGTTAGTTTTTAGCGTGTCTTGTGGTTGCTTCTGTAAGGATAAATGGTATGTTTAGACTTCTGTTCCTTGATTTATTAACTTTAGACAAAATCTGTGGATTATTTTGATATGAAAAATAACAGTTTAACTCTCGTTTTCTCCATCTCTCATTCTTTGACATTTATATTATTTTGAGAAAGTATTTTATCTTTATAATTTTCTTTTATTTTTATTTTTAGAGACAGGGTCTTGCTCTGTCACATAGGCTGGAGTGCAGTGGTGGAACCATGGCTCATGGCAGCCTCAAACTCCTGGGCTCAAGCAGTCCTCCTGCCTCAGCCTTCAGAGGTGTTTTACAGGTGATTACAGGTGAGCCACTGCGCCCAGCCCTAATTAACTTTATTATTATTTTTTATTAAAAAATATATTGTGTATACCTAATCCTGAATTGTACCCCACATCTTAAAAGTTATAATAATAGGCCAGGTGCGGTGACTCAAATCTGTAATCCCAGCACTTTGGGAGGCTGAGGCGAGAGGATTGCCTGAGCCCGCGGGTTTGAGACCAGCCTGGGCAACATGGCGAGACCTCGTCTCTACAATAAATCAAAAAATTAACTGGGTGGGGTAGTGCGGACCTGTAGTTCTAGCTACTTGGAAGGCTAGGCGAAGGATTACCAAGATCCCAGCAGGTTGACGCTGGGGTGGCTGTGAGCGTGCCACTGCACTCCAGCCTGGGCGATGGAATGAGACTCCAACTCAAAAAATAATAATTTTTAAAAAGTGATTGCTTTTACCCCCCTTTATAATTTTAAATAATAAAACTTTTATTTTTGGATTCACCAACTTCCCATAGGGTCTCTTAACTTGCCATTTTGGAAAATGGGGTCCTTAGAAGCTAAGGAAGCCGGACTCAGTGGCTCACACCTGCCATCTCAGCATTTTGGGGAGGCTGAGATGAGAGGATTTCCTGAGCCTAATGTTTGAGACCAGCTCGGGCAACTTAGTGAGACCTCGTCTCTACAATAAATAAAAAAAATTCAGCCGTGGTAGTGCACACATGTAATTCAAGCTACTTGCAAAGGTGAGGCAGAAGGATCACCTGAGCCCAGCAGGTTGAGGTTATGGTGGCAGTGAGCATGCCACTGCACTCCTGCCTGGGCGATGGAGTGAGACTCTGACTCAAACAAACAAACAAAGAAACAAACAAACAAAAAACTAAGGAACTCTTTTGGTCTGTACTTGAAGACTTAGCTTAGTACTGATTCAACAGAGATTTATTGAATACCACGTTTATCTTAACAGTATTACTTACCATAGCCGAAATTTGGAAATAACCTAGTGACCGACTTTAGGGGATTAGTAAAGTAACTACTGTCCATTTTTTACAGGAAATACTCTACAAACATTTTCAAAATGATGCAAAAATGGAACATGGAAACTTTTATTCTCTATTAAGTCAAAGCATATATATATATATTTTTTTTGAGTTGGAATCTCACTCTGTTGCCCAGACTGGAGTGCAGTGGCCGCTCCCAGCCACCGGTGATCCTTCCGCCTCAGCCTTCCAAGTAGCTGGAACTACAGGCGCGTGCTACCACGCCTGCTAATTTTTTTGATTTATTGTAGAGATGAGGTCTCGCCTGCTCAGGCGGGTCTCGAACCCGCGGGCTCAGGCAATCCACTCACCTCAGCCTCCCAAAGCTGTGGGATTACAGGCTGAGCCACCGAGCCCAGCTCAAGTCAAAGTATATTTATAAAACATTATGTACAATATAAACTAAGGGGGAAAATGCTTCTCCACAAAGCTCTTAACTTGGTAATGTGGCTGTCTCAAGTGATGGTGATTTGTGTTTTCTTTTTTCACATCGGTTTTTTCTCCATTACCCCAAAAGAACATGTTTTACTTCTATGAGAATACATTTTTTTAAACTAAAGATACAAAATTAGAATTGCTTGTCATAGTTTTTTGTTTTTTTGGGTACTCATGCTACTGTAACCCAGGCGTTCCTGATAAGAACTCAGTAAGCCAGGTGCGGTGGCTCACCCCAGTAATCCCAGCACTATGGGATGTGTTGGTGAGAGGATTGTCTGAGCCCAGGGGTTCAGCCCTGGGCAACTTGGTGAGACATCGTCTGTACAATAAATAAAAAAATTAGCTGAGTGTGGTGGCACATGCCTGTAGTTCCAGCTACTTGGAAGGCTGAGGTGGAAGGATGCTGGAGCCCAGCAGGTCGGAGGCTGCGGTGGCCGGGAGCGTGCCTCTGTTCGTACTCCAACCTGGGTGATAGAGTGAGATTCCAACTCAAAAACAACAACAACAACAAACAAACAAACAAACAGAGAACTCAGTAGATATTTGTTGATGAGAGAATGATTGATTTGCAGCGATTCCTAGGTCCATGGAATGAATGCTTACCCTCCCATAAGTGTATCCAGAAGCAAACCCTTAGTTCAGTTATTTCAAGAGAAAAGCCATGCATTGAGCTGTCCTGCAGCAGCTAGGAGACAGCCTTGACTGGATGTTGGCTGTGTAATGATTGGTCCAACAAAACTGAGGCCGCGACTGGCAGCCAGGCGGCGGTGCTCTTTCTCAGAGTGCAGGGTCTGAATAAGAGTGTCCTTTGTGCTTTCGGAGACTGAGGGGTGGGACTTGTGGCTATTTGTTATTTCTCTTTAATGGAAATCGAGGCAGCCTCTAATCCTGCTATCACATGGCAACTGCTTATTTGGGTTTGGTAATTTGGGAGCAGCTGTGGACCAACAATTATTCCACAAAAGGAGCCCTGCCAGCTGCACTCGGACCAGTGACAAATGCTTGGGCATGCCAGATCTCCAGTCTGCTGTGTCTAAGCTGGGATGGTTTCAGCAGCTCACCTGCTTTTTACTGACATTCGTAACTGCTAGTAAGCCCCTCCATATTTGAGAATGCCCTCTCTAGTGCTTGTGATCGTTGTCACCAACATTCATCAGGCACACACTTCATTCTAGGTGCTGTGCCAGGCGCTGGGTTGTGAGCCGTGAGGTGCTATGCAGTGTGCATAGATGCTTTTCTCTTTGACCGGTGGGTCAGCATTAAGCTTTATTTTAGCAGACTAAATTGCAGTGGAGAAAGAATCTGGGGTGGAGGCAACTGAAAGTGGTGCTGGTTCATTCCCCAGATTGCCCTGAGACTGCATGTGGGTGTCCATGGATGCCCCTGCCACGCCATGTGCCTTTCTGAGCTGCGCCTGCAGTGGCCTTTCTTAGCCCGGACCCTGGCATACTTCTGATGAAGAGTGTTCTTTCCGTAGGACGCTGGCTTGTGTCCTTGCAGCTTTGCCTTCCCAGCACTCCCTCAGCCCTTAGCAAATATCATGAGGCGAGGATTTGTCTTTTAAAGGTTAAAAGCCTACTTACTGGACTTTATTAGTTCAGTCTTTGATATACACTTTTTTTAAAGCTACTATAACCCAGGGGCTTATAATACGTTTGACTAAAGAAACACAGCCTGGGAATTGGGCAGGCAGGGTCTTCTGCAGTAAGGACAAGAAAGCTTGACTTTTGATTGTGCACAAAAGTAAAGGCAGGCCCACTGGGGGCGGGGGGTAGGGGGAGAGACACTGGCCATCTTTTTTTCTATCTTTGTGGTGTTGAATTATCACAGGAACAGATTGGCCTGGATTATCGTAGGAACCCACTCTATTAGAAACTCCTTTCACAGTGAGATAAAATGGCCTGTGATTAAGTGGGTTTTTCATTAAATTTTTAAAAAAAATTTTAGAGTTGTGGGATCCATATGGGGATTTGCTAATTGTAGACTGTGTGTGGTGAGGTCTGGTCTTGGGTGAGCCCCTCTGCCCCTGGTAGTGGGCACGGTGCCCCGTGGGTGGTTGTGTGCCCTCATTCCCCGCCCCCACAAGAGGCAGGTCATTTCAAAACTTAGAAATGTAGCACTGCACTTAGGCATAGTAGCCAAAAGCTACATATGGCTTTTAAAATTAAAACTAATTAGAAATTTAATTCCTTTATCACAAGAGTCACATTTCATGTGGCCAGCGTGGTTGATGGCTACTGTTTTGACAATGCAAATTTAGAACACTTCCATCACTGCTGAAAGTGCTTTTAGACAGCACAAATCTGGAGCCTGTGAGAGAGTTGGCATATTTTGAAGAATTTGGTAGACTGGGTGCAGTGGCTCACGCCTATAATCCCAGCACTTTGGGAGGCTGCCAAGAGGATTGCCTGAATCCAGGAGTTCAAGACCAGCCTGGGCATTTTGGCCAGACCACGTCTTTACAATAAATAAAAAAATTAGCCCGGCGTGGTGGCACGTGCCTGTAGTCCCAGCTACTTGGAAGGCTGAGGCGGAAGAATCACCTGAGCCCAGCAGGTCGAGGCTGCGGTGGCTGTGAACGTGCCACTGCACTCCAGCCTGGGTGACAGAGTAAGAGTCTGACTAAAAAATGGAAAAATAAAGCATTCGGTGAAGTACAGTTACCTAATTATTATTTTTTTGGGGTGGATGTTTGTTCCAGTTGAATTTTAAGCAATCTGAAATCCCGTGCTGTCTTTGCATTTTTTCCTTTGGCTGTGGCACCCTCTAGTGTTGTAGCTTTGTTATAGCAATACCGTCTTGAAATAGTCTATTTGTGATTTAAGTCTGAGAACATTGACATATTTTGGAAAAGCCTGGGTATATGCATTTCTCTAGAGAGAAGGTCTAGCCTTCACCCATCTTCAAAAGGATCCATGATCCACAAAGAATCAAAACTACTCTATGATGGTGGTCTTTGTATGGCCAAAACTCCTAATGTGATCTGTGAGTATTATTTCTCCCAATATAAAAAAATCAAACTGTTAATCTGGCATTTCTGTGCTGTATCTATCTTGGTATGTGGAATAATCATAATAAGTTTACTTATGGCACTCTTTATATACCATGTGCCACTTACACGCTTACAAATAGTTGCTCATTTTGTCCTCTCCATAATTCTATGTAGTAGATGCTGTTCTTCTTCTTCATTTGACAGGTAATACAGTTCAGGCCTAGAAGTCCAATGAAGTCTGTCTAAGGTGCTAGTGAGTGGCAGAGCGGGGATCTGAATGCAGGACTCTGGCTCCAGAGACTGAACTCTGAACTAGCCTGCTGTGGAGTGAGGGTGAGTGTTTCAGCAGGTAGGAGGGAGAGCAAAGAGAAGACTTCCCAGATCCTTGCACACATCGAGGCCAGCTGCATAATAAGGAAAAATGGCAACTCTCCATCTGTCAGCCGTGCTGGAAGTGACAGCCAAGACCCACTGTGGGTTTTCAGTAGACAGACAACCCTGTGGAATTTGTCATGGGTGAGAGGAGTGGTTGGAGTCCAAACTGCCGCTGCGCCACGTTTCCTGTAGTCCAAGCACCTCATCTGTTCATGGGATAATATGACAAATCATTTTGTGTCTGTACATTACTTCCATAGGTACTTTCTGTAATGCTGTAATGTTGGTTTGGAGGCTTGTGTGGGACTCTTGGACTCAGCAGACACCTCTCTCAGAGCAGGTGAGCTGGGGACAGATGGAAGTGTGTGTTTGAATCTTCCACTTCCTTTCCGTCTGGTTCCCTGTCACTCCTAAATGCCCCATTTCTCTCCATGGGGCATTTTATACTCGATTTTTATTTACTTATTTTTTGAGTTGGAATCTCACTCTGTCGCCCAGACTGGAGTGCAGTGGCTGCTCCTGGCCACCACAGCCTCAACCTGCTGGGCTCCGGCAATCCTTCCGCCTCAGCCTTCTGAGTAGCTGGAACTACAGGTGCGCGCTACCATGCCCGACTAATTTTTTGATTTATTGTAGAGATGAGGTCTCGCCACATTGCTTGGGCGGGTCTCGAACCCGTGGGCTCAGGCAGACCATGCACCTCAACCTCCCAAGGCGTGAGATTACAGGCTGAGCCACCGAGCCCGGCCTTCATACTCTATAGTTTAGCTTCTTTTTAATGATTCATTAAGTTCGAGATTGTTGGTTGGCTGGATTAGTCAGCGTCTGTTAGTTTCAGATGCTCCACATTAGGAAGCATTCAACATGAGGGTATGAGAACAGAAAGCCCTAATGCTAGTCTTGTAAAAGTGGCTTGCTGGGCTCGGTGGCTCAGCCG